TGGCATGACTGGCTCTTGTGATTAACTAGAGGTCCACGATTCCTCTTACACATAATGGCACAAAGATCAGGGAAAGGAGGGCTTGGGAAATGAGATTCACAGCAGCAGCCCTCCTCACTGTAGTACAGCTTCTCTGTCTCTCTATTGTTCTGCCTCTCTCTCTTCTCTCTGTCCTCTCTCTCATAGCTCTCTCTTCCCCCCTCTCCTTTCTCCTCTTCTCTCTCTCCCCCTCTTCTTTCTCTCTCCTCTCTCTCTCTCCTCTTTTTGTCCTCTCTCTCCCTCCTCTCCCCTCTATATTTCCTCTCTCTCCTTTCTCCTCTCTCTGTGTTCTCTCTCTCCTCCCTCTCTCTCTCCTCTCCCCCTTTCTCCTGCCTCTTTCCTCTCTCTCTCCTCTCTCTTCCCTTTGTCCTATCTCCTCTCTCTCCCCTCTCCTTTCTCTCTCTCCCCCCTCTCTCTCCCCTCTCTTCCCTCCCTCTCCTTTCTCTCTTTTCTCTCTCCTCTCTTTTTGTCCTCTCTCCTTTCTCTCTCTGTGTCCTCTCTCTCCTCCCTCTCTCCCTCCTCTGCCCCTCTCTCCTGCCTCTCTCCTCTCTCTCCCCTCTCTCTCCCCCCTTCCTCCTCTCTCTCCCCCTCTCCTTTCTTTCTCTCCTCTCTCTCTCCCCTCTCTCTTCACTGCTATCTCTCTCCTGTCTTTCTGTCCTCTCTCTCCTCTCTCTCCCTCCCCCTCTCCTCTCCCCCTCTCTGTATCCTCTCTCTCCTGCCTCTCTCCCTCCTCTCTGCCCTCTCTCCTGCCTCTCTCCCCTCTCTCTCCCTCCTTCTCTTTTCCCCCTCCCCTTTATCTTTTAGGAAGCAGGTGAAAACTCCCTTCTATTGGGAAACCAGTTTTCCACATTTTGGATCTGACTCAAGTTTTCGATGTATTATTCTTAGCTGCCAAAAATTCTCTTGAGCAAGTAACATGCAAATACATACATGATTACAAATAAGCCACTTCTTTCCTAATGCTTGACCCTTGATGGCCTATTTTCTAGAAAAAAAATCCTGCATTTGTCTCTGCCTTCTTCCCATGTCAGCACAGCCTACATCAAGTTGGGTTTGAAAACTGCTTCCTGGCAGCTCACTATCTCAACCAGGGTTAGATCCCAAGCAGTTCTGATCTGTCCCGTTCCCACCTCCTCTTTCTCCAAGTCAGGAATGGACGTGACCGTAGGAAAAGAGTTTTCAGGGGCCCAAGAGATGCCTATCCAAGTTGGAGGAAGCAAAATAACGGGATAACAGAGTTGAATGGGACCTTGGAGGTCTCCTAATCCAACCCTGTGCTCAAGCAGGAGATGCTATGCCATTTCAAACAAAGGGTGTCCAATTTCTTCTTAAAAATCTCCATGACTTCTGGAGGCAAGCCGTTCCACTGATCCGTTGTTCTGACTGTCAGGAAATTTCTCCCTCATTCTAGGTTGCTTCTCTCCTCAAAGCTGCTTAGAGCAGCTTCAAAACTTGGTTTCACGGTTGAGCAGAATCTGTACAGATTTTTCTGTACATTTCCGCTCGGGAATGTATTCACCATTTTAGGAAGTGAAAGAAACTCCTGGCTGCTGACCCTGTCTGAATTCCATCCAAGTTGATGGCCCGTATGATGGACAGGCGCCCAGAGGTTCACCCCTCACACCCCCTTTTCAATAAGCTTTTTGGAAGCCTTACCTGCCTCCCGTAAAGAATCTGGAGGACTTTGCTTGGAGGCACGCCGGTCACGTGATGGCGAGCCAGCAAAACGGCACAAACGAACCCATCTTGGCAACTGATAAACTGTTGCTCCAGGTAAAAAGAATGGTCGTCCCAGCCTAACATGCGTGTCCGGATGGCAAAGCGTTCCCCCAGTTTCAAAGACCGTCGGAAACGCCAAGAGGAGGCCACCAGCACTGTGGTGTACTTACAGTTCCAGATGGTCTGCAAGAGTCTACATTGGAACATGTACAGATAACGGGCAAAATCAGCCTCCCGGGCATAGCGGCTGTTATTCATGTGGCCCATCAAATCCAAATCGGAAGGCAAAACCCAGCTGTACCTTAGTCCTTCTTCTAGCACTTTGATTTTTGGGGCTCCCAATCTGTAACGAAGGTACATGATGATAAAGTAGAGTAGATACCAGGCATCCAGGAAGGTGAAGCTGATGGCAACTCCAAGACAGAAAGCTGAGAACAGGAAGAACGTCAACACCAACATGTTGCAAAAACAAATCAATGATCTGCCTGGAGTGGGGAGATCTAGTTCAGATCCTGAGTTGGATCTGCAAGCTGCTTCTCTCTGCTTCTTCTTCTTCTCCTGCTTGGTCTTGTCCTTGTTCTGCCTGAAGTGACCGGTCCATGCTTCTTCCGAGAGCTTTTTGACTCTTCAGTGGATCTCATGCAGAACTCCACCTGCAGCTTCAACACTTCTTTGATGAAGCAAGAGATAGTCCCGATTGGCTTAAGCCAACGGGGCATTGTAATTTCTAATTACAACTGGTAATTAATGGGTGGCATTGCTACAAAGAGTTGTTTCTTCTGTTCTGCATATCTCAACATAGAATCACAGGACTGGAAGACCTCAGAGGTCTTCTAATCCAACCCTCTGCCCAGGGTAGGAGATCTTGTAACATTTTGGTCAAATGGTTGTCCAGTTTATTTTTGAAAACTTCCAGTGATGGAGCACCCACAACTCCAGGAGGCAAGCTATTCTATTGATTGATTGTTCTTACAGTCAGGACATTTCTCCTTACTTCTAGATTGTATCTCTTCCGCCTGTTTCTTCTTGTCCTGGCCTCAGGTGCTTTGGAGAATAAGTCAATCCCCTCTTCTCTGTGACAGCCCCTTGTTGAAAAAAGAAATCTTCATCAGGGTCCAGTCCAAGCCGGGACTAAACAAAATGGAGACTGCTTTAGAAAGAAGTTTGTAGCTTATTGAAGAGCAGAACCACAAGACACGTGGCTCTGGAGCAGCTGACCACATGGTGCTGGGAGTGGTGGGTTTTTATACCTTCTTGGGCTTTTGTGTTTGGAGTTGTTCCTGTGGCATGAACTTTGACCTGAGCTTTTGAGCGTGGCCTTTTTGGTATTCTGATGGTGGTGAGTTAATCCTATTATGTCCTAAAGGTCATGTCCTGCTTCCCCGGGGCTGTGGCTGATGGCTATGTCCTGTGTTGGATGGGTGAGAGGTTGTTGGTTCTAGGGATCTTTGTCTTTCTAATCCCATCAGCTCCAAGCTTCCTGGCTCCAGTCTTTCTGAAAGGATGATCAAATCTGCATTTCTACAGAGTTGGCCTCTGCTTAGGGCAGAGAGACTTAGATTTTCTGCCTAAGATTTTCTATTATTCCTTTGAGGAAATATATTCTGCTTTTTTTTAATATCCCCCAAACTATTTCCTTCTCTGGGGGGGGGTGTCTTCCTACACCCTCAAGTAGTGGAAGACCGCAATCATGCCCCCTCCACTCCTTCTCTTCAATAGACAAGATATACTTAGCTCCCTCAACCGTTCATCATATGATTTAGTTGCCATTATGCAGATCTGGCTCAACCTGTATCCTTGAAAGCTTGTTTACCTGCAGTTCGGAACTCCCTTCTCTGGAGGGGGATTCCAAAATTAGAAAAAAGCTTCACCAGAACAGCCACCCCAACCATGATTATGGGTTTTCTGGAAAAGGGGGAAAGGAAGCCTACATTCAGGCATAGCTCTGTGTCTTGGTTTCAGAATCCTGGGTTTGTGAAGAGAATAACGCAATTCATCTGATATTATGTTTGGGAAATTATAGGGGGTCAGCATCTCAACAAAACAAACAAACCAACCTCAACTGGAAGAATGAAGTACTCTCTCTCTCATAGAAGAGAATCTTTGTAGCCCACGGTTGAACTGAGGGGTCCTTGGTGCTCTCCGAGCTTGGTGGTTTTCTTGTGGACAGTTTAGTATAGTCATCATCTTTCTCGTCCTTCCTTCCTTCCTTCCTTCCTTCCTTCCTTCCTTCCTTCCTTCCTTCCTTCCTTCCTTCCTTCCTTCCTCATTTTCTTTCTTTTCTTTCTTTTCTTTCTTTTCTTTCTTTTCTTTCTTTTCTTTCTCTCTCTCCCTCCCTCTCTGTCTTTTTCTCTCTCTCTATTTTCCTTCTTTCTTTCTCACTGTCTCTCTCTTTTTTTCTCTCTCCCTCTTTTTTTCTTTCTTTCTTTCTTTCTTTCTTTCTTTCTTTCTTTCTTTCTTTCTTTCTCTTTCTTTCTTTCTCTCTTTCTCATTTTCTTTCTCTCTCGTTTTCTTTCTTATTTTCTTTTGCTCTCATTTTCTTTCTTTCTCATTTTTTCTTTCTCTCTCATTTTCTTTCTCTCTTATTTTCTTTCTCATTCTCTCTCTCTCTCTCTCTCTCTCTCTCTCTCTCTCTCTCTCATTCTCACCTCTGTGAGTCCTAATTAAGTTAAGCCTCCTTGTGCATTAAGGTGAATTTGATTAAACCTTTCCCTAAATCCAGAGAGAAGATAGGGAAATTGCCAACACTCAGAATAAACCACAAGAAGCTTTAATAGGACAGCTAAACTTAGGTGACTGCCTTTGTACAGCTTTAACAGAACAACAGAGTTGGAAGGGACCTTGGAGGTCTTCTAGTCCAACCCCCTGCTCAAGCAGAAGACCCTATACCATTTCACTGCTGGCTGGGGAATTCTGGGAGTTGAAGTCCACACATCTTCAACTTGCCAAATTTGAAGAGCACCGGTTTAAACGCCGAGTTGGAAAGATCTACAATGGGATGAGGGCAAAATCTTAGAAGGTTGAGATGCAGCCTGATCTGCAATGAAACAGAGAAGCAAGGAATGATGGGAATTTGCATATTAATTAAGCCAGTGACAAAATGACATGAGTGGGTGTTTTTTGCACAGGCTCTGCAGGGCGTAACAGCTGGTTGAGGTGCACCATTCAGCATATTATTTATTAGCAATAGTGTTTATTAAATTTATTTGGCGTTGCCAATAAATCTGGTACGTGTTGTTATTTCCTCCAACGCTGTCCACACAGGCACACAAACACAAACACACATACACACTGCTACAGGTAGGGATGGCCACAACAGAGCCCAAAATTTATGTTGAGAAGCGAGACATTTGTTGTTGTTTTTTAAACAAGTTTTATTAATTTTTCAATTTTTACATCCAAGTAATTAGGAAGCAATGTGGTGCTAGGGTAATCAAAAATCCAACAACAGAATCATTCATATATATATATATATCTCAGGTTACCTCATTAAAAGTTCCCTCTCTATTTCTCTTAATTTTTATATCATATTCAAATTAATACATTTCTAGATAGAGCTCAATCAATCAATAGAATTATCAGTAAAATTTTACTTATACATATCCAAATCCTGTTTTTTAAGTTTTACTTGATTCCAATTACCATGTTCCAATTTAGCCATTAATAACCGTAATAATTAAACTTCGGGTAACCCCAATTTTCCTCATTTCATTACCAAATAATTATTGTGTCTAGAATACACATATTATTCCGAAAATTAAATTCTTACTTTATTTCACAAGTATATTCTATTTCTCGTCCTGATAGCTCCTTATTGGCTAATAAAATATCTTTCAGTGTCACAAACCCATTTCCATATTACAATTCAAAACTATAATCTAACAATTAATTTTCATTTCCATTATAAATCTAGGTCCTAAATATTAAATGAATGAATATCGCTAAAAATCTCCTTAACCCGTTAAATAGAACTTTAAGCTATTCCATCATCAATCAAGAAGGGAAGGAGAAGAAGAGAGAAAAGAGATGAAAGACAAAAGAAAAGAGTCCCATTTTTAAACCTAACTCTGGCTTTCTTTATTTGCCAGGCAGGTTTCCATACCAGTGACTTTAAATCCTCCAATAGGTCTCCCTTCATTCCTACACATATTGTTTGAATCAAGGGAGAACGGCCAGTTATCAATTTTTCAAAGGAACTGGCCCCTTTGTAATTATTAGGTTGTTGCCCTAATAATTCCAATCTCCATGTTTGGTTTAAAATGTTTATCGTTAGTTCAGTCTGGTCTTCTTCTTCTTCTTCCAGTTTCGTCTGACTAGAGTAAAAAGTCATGTCCAGTGTTGTAGTTGTTAATTGATTGTCTAGGTTGTCTAGGTTCTCAGTGCATTGTGTTTGTTGTTCAGTTCCTGTTGCTTTTGGAGTTACAGGTACTTTAGTTGAAATCAGTATTTGGTTGTCAAAGTTCTCAATAAGTTGTGTGTCCAGTTGTGTAGAATCCTCTTTAGTATTAATTTGTTCCTCTTCTGTTGTTCTTTTGGCTTGTAGGTTAATCAATTGGAGTCTGGAGTTCAATTTGTAGTTTTGGGGTAACATCTTTGGCTTTCACAACTGGAGTTCATTGGCTCAGTAGCTTCAAGGATTTTTTCAAGTATAAGTTTACAGTTAAGTAGTGGATAAAATTCCTCCATTTCTATAGTGGTTAGAGATAGTCTTTTAGTGGAGGCTATGCTTAGTAAAAGTCACCACTGTCCACTTCCACAGATTCTAGAAGTTGTTTCCACCACCCAGTCCAGTGATGGAGCACCCACAACTCCAGGAGGCAAGCTATTCTATTGATTGATTGTTCTTACAGTCAGAACATTTCTCCTTGCTTCTAGATTGTATCTCTTCCGCCTGTTTCTTCTTGTCCTGGCCTCAGGTGCTTTGGAGAATAAGTCAATCCCCTCTTCTCTGTGACAGCCCCTTGTTGAAAAAAGAAATCTTCATCAGGGTCCAGTCCAAGCCAGGAATAAACAAAATGGAGACTGCTTTAGAAAGAAGTTTGTAGCTTATTGAAGAGCAGAACCACAAGACATGTGGCTCTGGAGCAGCTGACCACATGGTGCTGGGAGTGGTGGGTTTTTATACCTTCTTGGGCTTTTGTGTTTGGAGTTGTTCCTGTGGCATGAACTTTGACCTGAGCTTTTGAGCGTGGCCTTTTTGGTATTCTGATGGTGGTGAGTTAATCCTATTATGTTCTAAAGGTCATGTCCTGCTTCCCAGGGACTGTGGCTGATGGCTATGTCCTGTTTTGGATGGGTGAGGGGTTGTTGGTTCTAGGGATCTTTGTCTTTCTAATCCCATCAGCTCCAAGCTTCCTGGCTCCAGTCTGTGGGAAGTTAACCCAGAGAAGGAAATATTAAAAAGGCAGGAAAAAAATATTGTTCACCAAAAGGATTTTTAAAAGCATTTTTTTGAAAAG